TAACCTGCTGCGTCAGCAGGGAAATAAACTGGCCCAGCCCGCCAGGGTGCTTACCCTGGCGAGCCGCGTGCCAAACGTTGCCAATCGCTGATCTATACAGACAATCTACAGTCAAAAACATGTTTTTCTAGTTCTGCTACGGTGTTATTAATTTAACAGAATAAAGTTAGTTAGCAAAACTAATTTGTTTTTAAAAGGAATTTTTTTCTCTGAATATATCTTTCCCTTGATCGGAAAGTGCTACTAGTTCAGCACATTAGGGACTGGCTTTTGAAATGATGATGTGATCCCAGGAGCTGTTGTATTCACAAGTTATGGATCAGTGGAGCAGGTGGTTATCAGGAGAATACTGAAGAGGATTGCCTTCATTTCCTTTGGCATTTTCAAAATCAGAAATAAACCTCTCCCCTCTTTGGAGAGGAACGTGGTGGTTAATACACTGCAACTTGTTGAGCCGTTGATTAGAGCTAATGTGCCAAATTCTGATCTCAGTTACACCCACATGAATCGAAAGTAACTGAGTTAAGAATCTGGTGATGAGTTGCCATCAAGGTATCTGACAGAACTGCCTCTGCTCAATGGAAATGTGCTTCTATGCATATTATCTACCCCATCCCCAGGTATGTACACACATTCATAGGTGCCGACTCTGTGGGTGCTCTGGGGCTGGAGCACCCATGGGGAAAAATTAGTGGGTGCTCTGCACCCACCGGCAGCCAAACTCCCCTCCCACCCCACCTCACCTCACCTTCGCCTCTTCCCCTGAGCGCGCTGTGTCCCCGCTCCTCCACCTACCTCCCAGAACTTGCCACCAGAACATGGCACTCTCAGGGGAGGAGGCAGGGAAGAGGTGGGGCCAGGGCAGAGATTGGGGGAAGGAGTCGGAATAGGGGCAGGGAGGGAGTGGAGTTGGGGCGGGGACTTTGGGGAAGGGGTTGGAATGGGGGTGGGGCAGGGGCGGGAGGGGGCGAGGCTGGAGGCTGAGGGGGGTCGAGCACCCTCCGGCACTAGCAGAAGTCGGTGCCTATGCACACATTCACATACACATGCCATGGGGGATGCAGCAAACCACCCCACATCCATGCAACACTACAAGGTGTAGCTGTAAAGCTTTGCAGTGTTCTGCCTAGCTATCTAGGTTTTTATAGTCACCCAACACCATGAAATCTGAGCACTTCCTATATAAACGTACACACAGGAGCATTCTCACACACTGGTTACATACCTCAAGGAAGAATATGGCCCAAACTTTCCCCCAAGACTTGGACTCCGTCAAGGCATTGTGGCTGGCCAAGTGGCTTCCTTTCACTGTTACAGTGTGGTGCACTATGCCCAAGATGAAGATGCCCAACAGGAAGGGAAGGGCATTGTCTGAACGCAGACACAGGAACCCTAGAGATAGAAAGAAAAACCTTGGAGCTGTTAAGCCTTCTAGATAGTCAAGATCAGACCAGTATAATGGCCAAGGCAAGACCCAGGGGGGACTGCTTTCCCCATAAGAACTACAGCTCTCCTGGGCAAATGAGATCTCATTTTGAAGGAGTCTCCATTTTCCTTCTTCTCACCAAGGTAAAGTGGAAATCCAGGTACCCAGTTCAGATACAATGGGGATGAGGGCCATAAAAGCACCTAGCTTGCTTGACAGATGAAAGTCTATGGGACAGGGAAGTGTTCATGTAGTCTCCGGGACTGTCAGTGACAGACGAAAAGGGTTACGATGAAGGTTCTCTTTATGCTGACTATCCAACTCGCTTTCCCCCCCCAAGTTTAAGGGCAAATACTTATGTAGTCAGAGTGCCCTGCACACACCAGGGCATTCTTGCACTCCTCCAGTCTCCCCCACAAGCTCCCTGGGCATTACTCTCCCATCCCCCACTATTTCAGGGACTCCCAGCAACTCCCTGCCCCGTTCATGCCATGGGCTCTGTGTCCCTCCCAGCCTCCCTACCAGGATCCCCCATTCTTCCCCGGCCCGCCCCCAACCACAGAGACTGTGTGTGCACCTTGTGGATAAACATGACTAAAACACAATTCCTAACTCCCCTCTCCCCACTGCTAAGACCTCCCCTCTCTCTCTTTTCCATGACTGGAGCTCCTAGGTGCTACAGTAATACAAATAATAATTTCCCATTTTCCCTCCAGGCCCCCTTTTCCTCATTCCACCCTATACCCCCCCCCATTCCCTCCATGCCAGAGAATCTGTTTGCTCCCCATTTTCCCCGGGCCAGGGTCCCCCATTCTCCCCCCACTCCATCAGGGGCTCTGTGTGTGCCCCCCTTCCTCCCAGGCCTCTCCATTCCCCCCTTCCCTCCCACCATTTTTATTTTCCTTTCTTTCTCTCTCTTTCTTTCAGGGTGTTAACACTTTTAAACTGTATTGGGAGGAGTGGGAGAGCTAAACTGAAGAGTATTGTTAATAGTTGCCATCAATTGGCTCTTTGATCTATAGATTATTATAGGTGGTTGAAGCAGCTGGCTCTGCTAATCAGATGCCAGGGACACCATGTGTCCCCCATTTCCCCCTTCCAATTTTTGCATTTCCACCAAAATCAATAAAACATTCCCTAACATTTTGGAATTGATTGGATACAGCATTCATAAGTTATTGCATTGCATCCAAATATCCAAACAGAGAAATGCCATTATGGTGAGTGGAAGTCCTCGCACGGTTGGTCAAATAAACAGTGATGGCAAAATGTTCCAGAGTTCTGGTTCAGCTCAGCTAAGCAGCCATAAACCCAGGTATTTAAGTCCCCCTCCCTCCTTTTCTCCTTGTGGGTGACCTCTTTCCTTCCACATTAAAGCCAAGGCTTTGCTCCTCACTTTTAAGGCACTCCACAAATCTGTTCCCTACATCTTAATCTGTATCTCCAGCTGCACCCAACCACATCCAAGGAAGCTTCCCTCCTAAGAGCTCCCTTCATCTCTCTTTCCCCACTCCCAACTCAATGCCCTCTGTCACGCTGCTTAGTATGCTTTGGCCAACACCCAACTCCCATTCGTTCCTTATTCAAAACACTTCTGAGAAGCTACCTAACTCTTGCAATTTCTAGCTACAATCACGCCATTATTGACTTCAATGGGATACATTTGGCTCATGCTGTTTAGATGTAGAATTAAGTGCAGGTTGCTGTCTTCATAATTCCATCCTGATGCAACACTTCCAAGAGATGACACCTCGCTAGCTCCCAAACTGGTTTAGGGGCCTGTGAAAGGAGTGCGAGCACTGTCTGTAGGGTGTAGAAGCACTCCAGTATAACTAGGACAAACCTGGAAATACCTGTCCCAGGATGAGTGGAGAACCACCAGCCACAGGACAGTGCGACACCTACGCTCGCAAGTGGTTGCTTCTCGTACCCCTTATTCACAGCAAAAATTAATGCTCACGGGCTGCCAGATAATAAACGAGGGCCTGTATTGGCAATTCTTGCACATCCTGAGAGAAGCTGCAAGACCAGCTCGGCCTGTAGTTAAAAATACATCTCTCCTCCATCACACCCACCATCAGAACCATAAGAAGTGACTCATATAAATACAATAACAAAGCTTCCACGGCAGGGCTGAGCTCCCCCTTTGAAGATCTCACTGGGACAGACAGAGCTAGTATTAAATGGCAGCCCAGTAGTGCTGAACAAGGAAGGTTTCCCCAGATGCGCATCTTTGCATCAAAGGGTTAAATCAGAGACCGAGGCACTGAAAAGGCTGCTGCCTCGGAATCCCACTTACCTGAAGCTCACCTGTACACTTCATCCGGATCCACAGGAACAATTACAAGCTGCATCACCTCCTTAAGCCTGAGCAGGTTTAAAGCACAGGTACTGAAATGATGCTGAACACAGTTCAGCTCTACTATATTCAGGTTCTTATGCTGCTCCCATCACCACAGTATCTGAGGCCCCTTTTGCCTGGCGCTACACTTGCAGCTAAACTGCATTCAGCACTGGCTCAGCTGTGCCCACTGCTGACCCCAATTGTCACCAACAGCTAATTGTGTTCATACAATGCAGATCTCGGACACCATCCCCCGCGGCAGCTCCCACGGGGCAGTATGGGAAGTAGGGCTTTGGAACACAGGGGCAGTACTTGGAGGTGCCTTTCGCCCCATCAGCGGCAACATCTAAGTGGTTAATAACCAGCTGAGCTTTCATGCCTACTAACACAAAGAGAATACGGTTCCCTGTTAATGTGTAATGAGAAACCAATAAGGAGACACAGGGGCCCTTCCCTTAGTTGACACAAACCTTCCCACTTTTACCTGCAGGAAGGATGAGGAAGTTCAGGGCAATGATGGAGTCATCGATGCCATGTCTCTCCCACCAGCTGCTTCTCTTCACCACCTGCTGCACCAGCTCAGAGAGCTCCCCCATCAGGGCTTCCTCACGTCTCCCCTCCTCGGGCGGCTCCGCTTCCTCCTTGGCACCTCTCTGAAAGACCCTTGGCATCTCTTCTCCTCCGGAGGTGTTTCCATCTCCATCCAGGACGGGATGACTTAAGGTGGGCCCTGGATCCTGTCCTTTCGGAGTCACCTCCTGTTCTGGGGGACCCACTCTGCTGGTGCCAGTCTGCAGCTGTTGTGTTGGAGCTGCAATCTCTTGACTTGGTGTGTCCCCTTGCCCCAATTTCTCACCTTTCTCCTGGGCATTTCTTCCTTCTCCTGGGGGTTCTGGCTGTTCCACTCCATGATTTAGGGGAGAACCTTTTTGCAGTGGCTCTATCCTGGCTGCCCCTGCCTCACTTGGCTGCTCTCCCTTCTGTCTCTCTTGGTACATGTCCTGATTCTCCATCAGCATCTCCTGCCATGGCTCCATCCCCCTGTAGAGCACAGGACACTGCAGAGTGATCCAACGTCCCAGTACCTCTGCAGGATCAGATAACAAATGAGCCTGTCCCGGGAAGGGCAGAGGCAGCAGAGAAATGCAGCTGGCCTTGGCAGAAGTGCCACAGTGTGCAATCTGAAATGCTTGCAGACTGCAAGCTCAAATTGCTTAGCGCTAGTAATGCGAAGCTGGCTTTAGTCCCATCCCTAGACTCTGCCCCTTTCTCACCCTCATCTGCTTCCTCCACGCCCTTTCTGACTCTCTCTCCCTCATGGTGCTGCTGTGTCTGTTGCCCTTGGCTCTCTCTGTCATGAAGAATAGCTTGTGCAGGCAGGCAGGAGTTCTGCTGCTCTCACCAGAGCCAAAGGACGTGAGAAGGGCAGCGATATAAAAAAAAAACGTTACTGCTCCTATAGAAGAGCACAGAGCTGTGCTGGAGGCAAGAAGAGGGAGAACAAAGAGAGCAGAGAGAGCACAGAACAGCTGGGGGAAACCTTGTATGCATGCCAAGCATCCTTGTTAGGAGGAGTTTCAGAGTAGAAGTGGGCTGTAGTCCACGAAAGCTTATGCTCTAATAAATTTGTTAGTCTCTAAGGTGCCACAAGTCCTCCTGTTCTTCTTCTTGTTAGGAGGGACAGTTCCTATCCTACTGTCTCTTCCTAAAGCTCCTTTAGCCCCAGGGATTTTAAAGGAGTTAAAAGGCGTGCTCCTATTTTTCTCTCCAAATGTTCCTACATATAGGTACCAAATACAAGGGAAAACAAGGAGCAGGGAGGGGAAAGAGTTTGCAGCAGCATTAACCTATTTCTAGAAGCAGCCATCAGCATACCCTGTTTCCCCGAAAATAAGACATCCTCCGAAAATAAGGCCTACTTACAGTTTTGCCTCTTGTTGTAATATAAGGCATCCCCCCGATAATAAGCCCTCCCCGATAATAAGGCATCCACCGATAATAAGGCATC